GTCATTGTGTCTCCAGTGTCACATGTGGGACACTTTCAGGCCGTTTAATGTTCACACTGGAGTCACATACAAGTCACATTTAATTGGAAATGTGAACGACCTCGCAAAAACATCAGATTTCACAAAAAAATCTGAATTGAGCGTTAAGCCCTGCAGTCTGAACATAGCCTTAGTTACTTACTTACCTACCTACCTACTTACGCACTTGCCTACCCAACTACTTACTTAGTTACTTACCTACCTACTTAGTTACTTACATACCTACAGTACCTAACTACTTACTTACCTAATTACTTACTTATCTACTTACTTACTTACAAAAACACATCCATGGACACAAGCAGAAAGTTCAGTCTTTTTATCTTTTATCTCGATGAGGCTTCGTTTCCATAAAACCCAGTTTATCCTTAATGGTTTTGGAGGAGGCACTGGCCCTTGAAAGCCACACTAAAAGTCACTCTTTGAATCGCGCTTTTTCCAGATCTTTCCCTTTAGAGTGGTATAAATCAGAGGTAGCGGCCCCGTGTGCTGTATTCAGGCTCTGAAGATACGGCTGTGAGCGATGCCAGCGGGACACACTCACCAAAGCTCCATTATCTAAATATAGTCCCTGTGGATAACAATGGGCTTTATCAGGATCCTGGCCCACACTTTGTAAATGGAGACATGTGTAGATTGGGTTTTGTGTTAAAGGGCGCGATCATGTGCAGAGAAACCCATGAATAGTATCAGTAAGTAGGACGGATAAACAGATACAAGTACAAATCACAGACTGCATAAAGAATGGACTAAAGGAGAGTGACGTAATTCATAGCGTTCATCTCCAGCTAGAGACGCTAGAGAAAAAGTGGATGATTTGTCTGTTCCTACAATTATTTAACGCTAAAATAGTGAAATAAAAATACCGGGATCACATAGAGCGAGTTAATACGAACATTTTAAGACCAAAATGATGAGTGGCAGTTTGCAGCAGCAGCAGAGACGAGTGACAGTTTTTCAATACAAAGTGAATTGGAGCCAGAGTCGATTGAGCTGGAAGCTTGCCCGTGTTCACTTCCTATTAGGATATACCCACTTATGTACTGTATACAGTCTCAGGTATATATATATATTTTTTTATGATTATAGACACTGTTGAAAATAAGTAGACTTTAGATCAGGGATGTCAAACCAGATCCGGCCCTCCAAGATCTTTAATCTGGCCCTCGGCTGATTTTCTACTAAATATTTTAATAAAATTTTCTATTAAAATATTGTTAATTTTCTGTGGTGTTTATCACAGCAGCGTCTCCAGTGTCTCTGTACGTGGCCCCTCCCACCAGAGCAGCACAGATGAAGACTTGTCTCTTTCCAAACGCTCTTAAAGGACGATCGTTTTGACTGTTGACCGTGACACCCTCATCAGAAAAATGTCCAACATGAGAAAAGTGGAGCCGAGTGCAGGATTTTCCAAGAAAAACTGACTTATTCCTATTTGCAAACAAGTTCATGTTAAAACATTGTGTTGAAATTGCATTTTTCTTAAAGTTTCAGGTTGTTCATAATATTATAATATTTTGTAAAAGAGGCACCGATCAGATCAGATTTTATGTTTAATGTTTTATTTTTGTTGTTTTCAGCTTGAGCCATTCACTCCCAAACAGAAGTCATTTTGTGTCTTGGAATCTGCTCGCTCACACTCACCCAAAAACTGTGCAGCCTTCAGTGCAAAATTTGGAAAAAAAACCACTAAATTTGGACTTGGTACCAAAAATGTAAAGAGGAAGGCTGCTTGGGGTATGTTTACACATACCCGGGTATGTTGAGAAAGGAACAATAACATCGTGCACATAGCATTGTTTTCAAAAAAGTTTTCGTTTATATCAGCTCGCATAAATACATCATTAAGAGTCGTCGTAACTACACTCAGTTCATCAATTAAAAAAAGATTTCTGTAATAGATTTGTGTTTCTCTGCACAAATATTTGAACTTATTGTTATTTTTGAGGTTTATATGACATGAGTTTTCTGATCCGGCCTCTTTGGGATCAAAGTAGGTTGGATACGGCCCCCGGACCAAAATGAGTGTGACACCCCTGCTTTAGATACTCACCTTTACTGATCATATTTGAGCAGATATATGACAATAAGAAACATGAGAGTAATATGAAGTAGAACAGCAAGATTAATCATGATCAAATCCAAATTTTGATGCAATTAGCAAATTGCAAAGGCTTCAATTTTTTTAAGCACCATCATTTTCCTCAAACAAACAGCAAAACATCTAACTGTGACTCTTTTATTAGTTCGTCAGTTCATATTAGTTTTGTTCCGATACCTTTTTGGGGGGCATCCGATCTAGTACCAATACTTGCCGTTGGTTTACTCACTGATACCGATACCAGGCTCACCGCATAGTGTCTGGCTACTCACTTTTGTTACTGTACGAGAACAAAAAAAAAAAAATTCTAAAAGGCGATTTTTAATGAAAACCTGCCAGAATAAATACAGTTTTGAGGAATAAAGTATTAGTGAAATGTTTTGCTGCAGTGCTGATTTAAGTACTTTTGCTTTTCTACTTCATCACTTTCCACCACAGAGCCTGTAATAGACACAGTACACGCACAGAGAGCATAAAAAACAACAGTGAAGCCTGTGAAAGGACACTCATCCTCGGAGCACATGGTTAATTCTGCAGAGTAAACAAAGCCTGTTTTAGCGCTCTTGCCGCTGTAGTTATTTTCCCAAGCTCAGTGTCCACACCAAAGGCTGAATGGAGGTATGTAAGAGGCAACACAAATGTCTAACCGTGTGTTATTGTGTGATTTAAGTGTCCACAGAGTCTCTACAGCACAGGTGTCAAACATAAGGCCCGGGGGCCAGATGCGGCCCTCCAAGACCTTTAATCTGGCCCTCGGCTGATTTTCTATTTAAATATTTTAATTAAAATATTGGTAATTTTCTGCGGTGCTGAGCATAGCAGCATCTCCAGCGCCTCTGTACGTGGCCCCTCCCACCAGAGCAGCACAAATGAAGACTTGTCTCTTTCCAAACACTCTTAAAGGACGATCGTTTTGACTGTTGACCGTGACACCCTCATCAGAAAAATGTCCAACATGAGAAAAGTGGAGCCGAGTGCTGGATTTTACAAGAAAAACTGACTTATTCCTATTTGCATACAAGTTCATGTTAAAATATTGTGTTGAAATTGCATTTTTCTTAAAGTTTCAGGTTCTTCATAATATTATAATATTTTGTAAAAGAGTTCATTTAAGAAGATTTTTAGTTTAAAAATGTTTTGTTTCAAAGGTCTTTAAAAAAGATTTCTGTAATAGATTTGTGTTTCTCTGCACAAATATTTGAACTTATTGTTATTTTTGGGGTTTATATTTCATGAGTTTTCTGATCCGGCCCCTTTGGGATCAAAGTAGGTTGGATATGGCCCCCGGACCAAAATGAGTTTGACACCCCTGCTCTACAGTCTGCATTTAACCTGCTCTGAGCTTTAGTGGTGGAATTAGCTATAGATGTCAACAGAAAATACAGAGTGATATCGGATCAGTGATTTGGCCTGACTACTCGCCGATGCCAATACCTGAAAAATGTGTGGTATCTGAGCTTTTACCAATACCAGTATCGGTATCGGGACAACCCTACTTCATTTATCTGTCTTTTCCTTCAATAGACTCTTTTCACACTTACGTTACAAACCAGGAAAACATTTGGAAACGTGCAATGACAACTTCCTGTGTAGTTCTAGTTCGACACTGGGCTCGACGACCGACTGTGATCAAACCCACTGAAGTAAACATGATCAGCGGTAAAATGAAGACTGCAGACGTATGTGCCCAGTGCTCTCTGTGGTGGAAATGTTAATATTGGGTGTTGTTCTTTCTTTCCGTTGTCCAAGTAAGAAGTGTTAAAAGCCAGACTATTCTTTGTCTAATCCTGTCTCTTGCAGGAAGGCTATAGATTCCTTTGGGTTTGTCATTTACTGTTTGTCACATGTTAAGTTTTTGATCATCTTCACTTGTACCCAGACTCTAATGCACAGGTGTCAAACATAAGGCCCGGGGGCCAGATCCGGCCCTCCAAGACCTTTAATCTGGCCCTAGGCTGATTTTCTACTAAAATATTTTAATCATATTTTCTATTAAAATATTGGTAATTTTCTGTTCCGCTTAGCACAGCAGCGTCTCCCATGCCTCTGTACGTGGCCCCTCCCACCAGAGCAGCACAGATGAAGACTTGTCTCTTTCCAAACGCTCTTAAAGGACGATCGTTTTGACTGTTGACCGTGACACCCTCATCAGAAAAATGTCCAACATGAGAAAAGTGGAGCCAAGCGCAGGATTTTCCAAGAAAAATGGACTTATTCCTATTTGCAAACAAGTTAATGTTAAAATATTGTGTTGAAATTGAATTTTTCTTAAAGTTTCAGGTTGTTCACAATATTATAATATTATAATAAGAAAGAGTTCATCAATTAAAAAAGATTTCTGTAATAGATTTGTGTTTCTCTGCACCAATATTTGAACTTATTGTTATTTTTGGGGTTTATATGACATGAGTTTTCTGATCCGGCCTTTTTGGGATCAAAGTAGGTTGGACCAAAATGAGTTTGACACCCCTGATTTACACAGAAAACATGTTTTTGCCTCTGACAAAAAAAAAAAAACTGAGATATGAACTGACGAAGTAACAGAAGAATCACATTTCAGAACATGTTTGTACAGATCTAAACTACAGGGATGAGATATTTAGTTGTCTGTAGAGGAAACTATGGTACTTAAAAAACTGCTGCTTTTGCGATTTGCTAATTACTTCCATTGATATTGTGATGTTCGATTTCGCTTAATCTTCCAGCGCTAATGTTAATAATTAAAACCACAAACATTCCCTGTGTTCTGTTGCTGATTCCATCCGTGTTTTTTTTTTTTTTTTTCAGCAGCAGAAACGATAAAAGATTCAGTTTGTGAGCTGAGGCGCCCGGAGAGTAGACGCATTAGCAGCTCCCTCACCTGCTCCTGTAATCTCTCCATTATCAGCGGCAGAAGAAGGCTCTCTCCACCCGCCTCCGCTGTTGTCACAATAAAGTCCACGTCGTGCCCAAACTCTTTCCCCCTAGAGATAAAAACACATTATCAGCCGCTGTTTTCAAAAATATGAAAATTATCTTCTTGTACTCGCCGCGTTTAACTGATGAAGAGGCAAAGAGGCAGACAGAGCTATTAAAAACACAGCGCACGGGGAATAACATTTGGGACTATTCCTTTTTTCGCAGGTAATTGAACCAAAATCATCTGGAGAACAAGATATGCGGGCCTGGAGATGTTGTTATTATTATTTTTATGAATCAATATTTCTTCAGCGTTTGACTAGTGCTTACTGTCATTGTGTCCTTGGGCAAGACACTTCAACATCTGGCCTTTGACAGATTGCCAAAAAGAAATATCCAAATAAACAATAAAGCAGGATAGTCCCAGTAAACCATTTTTAATAAGACAATACCATTAAAAATAATAAATAAACAGTAGAATGAACATAAACTTAGTTACAGAAGTCACAAATTCAACCTTATTTTCAACTAAAATAACAAATCTCCCCATTATTGATAAGAAAATGCGCACATCATGAATACTGAGACTAAAATATATTGTTTCAGCTGGATTTAAGTCTCGTCTTAGGCACCACGAGCTGGACCTCGGACCTCAAGACGCTCGCGAGGATGTAAATCTGGAGGAGGTCCGAGACGTATTGTGGCGTCAGTGCATTCAAAGCTTTAAAAACAAACAATGAAATCTTAAAATCAATTCTGAAATGAACACGTTCCTGTTAAAGGTCGTGCCGCAGACTTTTGGAGTCACTGTCGTCGGTAAAGTGCGGAATAATTTGTGTTACAGTCGTCCAGGCGTGATGAAATAAAAGCGTGCACGACTTGTTAAACAAGTTTAAAAGATAAAAAAGGTTTGACTTTAGATAAAAAGCCCAAATGATGAGAACTTGATTTTAAAACGCTATTGGCAAGGCAAGTTTATTTGTACAGCACAATTCGTACACAAAGTAATTCAAAGTGTTTTACAGCATAAGAAATACATTAAAATCATAATAAAAACAAATCAAAACATAAATAATCATGAAGATTAAAATAAAAAAAGAGACATAAATTGGAGAGAAGAGTGCGGAATGAAAACCTTGATCTGCTTGTCAAATTTAAAATCATTGTCTAAGGTGACGTCGAGGTTGGTGACTGTGGGGCAAACATAGTTTTTGAGGCGTCCCACATCAGTGACGGTTCTGCTGGATCCAAACTGTATCACCTCTGTCTTTGCTTCATTCAGTTGTAAAAAAGTTAGGGCCAACCAAGTGTGCTTGTCGATCTGTTCCACAGTATGGCATTAAACTTTTGATTTCCATAGCAACAGCAGGCCATAAAGTTACAGGTCAGATCTGTGGACAGTAAGGCCCTGGTCACATGCACAGGGGTATTTTTAAAAACTGAGACATTTCTCTTCATTTGTATCCATCTTTTACACACAAACGGTGAATTCGCCTCTGAAAACGAATCTTTCTAAAAATTCTGGCTAGACTGGAGATTCTGAAAACTTCAGTTTTGCTTTTGTGTGTAAAGTGACATAAACAGAGTTTCAGGAGCTGACGTGCCAAAAGTGATGATGATCATGAAGATCATGAGTCGCATTTCTTCTGGTGCAAACACTTTTCATGCGTTTGCATTTGCACACATGATGTTTGATGTTTCATTTCCATGACCAGAGACAAATGATGCTCGGAGCTCCGACATTTTGCCACTTGTTTAACAGATCTGTGGAGAGGCGAGCCCGCTCAGTAATGCACGTTTTTCAAGGTATTTTTGAGTAATACTTACAACTGTAATGAAATAAATGCTTCAGGTTTGAATCTAATCCAGACGCCGCCCAGGGGTTTGGCGTAGTTATGACGGCGCTCGATGGCGTATTTATGCGAGCTGATGTAAACGAAAACTTTTTTGAAAACGATACTATGTCCACGAAGTTATTTTGGAAAACAGATTGATGGAAACATACCCAGTTATATGTAAACGTAGCCTAAGAATGCAAGTTTCCCCACGTATTCATTCACAATAAAAACATCTGTAATGAATAAACGCAAGAAAGAGTTTAAGTTTAAAACCAAACTGTGAAGCATTTCTGATAAAGCAACATCTCCACGGAGTTACAGTGCACCTTTAATGAGCTCTTACTGGCACTGGTTGAAAATGGTTCGCAATCTCTCTTCTTGTAAAACTGGACAATGCAAGATGAGACGCCTGAAGCACAGCCGGAGCGGTTTGATGTCTCCTCGCTGTACCTAACGTGTGAATGACAGCTCACATGAAAGGAGGAGAGGGGCACAGGCAGCGATGGATTATGGGTAATCTTCAAAGGTCAGGAGGCTACGACATACTATTAGAGAACAGCCGTTAGAGCTCGTAATGGGAAGCAGGAGAGGAGGCACGGAACTTATACTTGTGCCGGAATGCTCGAGACGTCAACACCGCCTGTGCTTTTAGACGTTCCAACAAAGAACAACGTCCGGACAAACGCTCGTAATTAGGAGTTTAGTGATCGGATAAAGTTTGGAGCTCAGATCACAGCGGATGAAGACGCCAGTGATGTGATCAAAGGAGGACACGATGGTGGAGATAAAGTGGTAAAGGGGTCGAGGGATAGACAAAAAGTGCATGGATTAAAGAGGGGAGAGAGAGTGCGTTTATACAGCACGGTGTGGGATGGTTTCAGTTGGTTTTAAGTCTCGTTTTATGAGCTGGAGCTGGACTTCGGACCTCAAAACGTTCGCGGGGGTGTAAATCTGGAGGAGTTCCGATACATATTGTGGGATCAGTGTTGGGAAAGTGACTTTTAAAACGTATTCCCCTACAGATTACAGATTACATACCCCAAAATGTAGTTTGTAACATAATCCATTAAGGTTAAAGTGAGTAATGTAATCTGAATACTTTGGATTACTTGATTTGCTGTAGAGAAGCAAAGACGAGGATATTGTAACATGACTGAACCGTACTAAAAATATTATTGATAGAAGACGAGGAGACCCGTCCACGCAGCATGATTTAGTCCTGTTAAATCCTGTTTTAGACCTGGTTTTAGACCTGGTTTAGTCTTGGTTTTGTCTTGGTTTAGTCCTAGTTTAGTCCTGGTTTAATCCTGGTTTTAATTCTGCTTTAGTCCTGGTTTTAGTCCTGGTTTAGTCCTAATTTAGACCTAGTTTAGACCTGGTTTAGACCTGGTTTGAACCTGGTTTCAACCTGGTTTAGTCCTGGTTTAGACCTGGTTTTAGTCCTGGTTTAATCCTGGTTTTAATTCTGCTTTAGTCCTGGTTTAGTCCTAATTTAGACCTAGTTTAGACCTGGTTTAGACCTGGTTTGAATCTGGTTTCGACCTGGTTTAGTCCTGGTTTAGACCTGGTTTTAGTCCTGGTTTAGTTCTGGTTTAGACCTGGTTTGGACCTGGTTTAAACTTGGTTTAATCCTGGTGTAGACCTGGTTTTAGTCCTGGTTAAATTCTGGTTTAGACCTGGTTTGGACCTGTTTAGTCTTGGTTTAGTCCTGGTTTTAGTCCTGGTTTAGACCTAGTTTAGACCTGGTTTAAAAAAAAAAAAAAAAAAAGGATATAGCCTGAAATGTGAAAACGGGAAAATACGGCCGTATAATCCATTTATTTCAACAAAGTAACTGTAATCCAATTACCACTCATTAATACAGTAACTGTAACTTAATACAGTTACTCATCATTTATACTCTGATTACATAACTCTGGTACATATAATTTGTTACTCCCCAACACTGGGGGTCAGTCCATTCAAAGCCTTAAAAACAATGAAATCTTTAAATCAATTCTAAAATGAACTGGTTCCTGTTAAAGGTTGTGCCACAAAGTTTTGAAGGGAAAAAAAGTCTAAATAGTGGGAAGCTTGAAAAATAATGTTTATACCTCTACTCTGATAATTAGACGTCAATGTCTAAATAGCAGCGTGTCGGAACAGCAGCGTGAAACCCATTTTGATGAGGAAACAATGTTATAACATAGTTCAGAAAATGGTGTAACACTGCTCTTTTTACAGAAAGAAGAGGCAAGAATTCAATTACAGTTTCTTTAATTTTACCAGCTCGTTCCCCTATAATGTTTAAGTCCAGAAGCACAGCTGGTCTATGGTCTTTTCTACAAAGAGGGAACAAGCCAATGCTCTGAGAAAAACGCATGTGGTTTGGAGAAGAGTTCAGACTTTATTGGGTAAATTAGACCATTTTGGATCTAAAAATGCTGATCAAAGATTTTCAACAAAGACGTGAGAGAGAAAACTGCTGGCTAATGCTTGTGGAATATTTTTATAGTCCAATGAATTTCATTTGGTCTTCCGATAATTTATATTACCGTATTTTCCGGGCTATTAGGCGCTCTGGATTATAAGATGCATTGTCATTATATGGTCTACTTTTGAACTTTTTTCACAAATAAACCGCACTGGACTTTAAAGGAAACACAACAGTTGGACGGGTGAGTGGTTTTTATTTGTTTGGTGACTCTGGGCTTTGTTCAGTTGTGGCGTGTAGGGAGGGAGCTGATTGTTGGCGTGTTTGCAGTGACTCGATGCATGTTGACGGACTATTTTCTCATATATCAGTCCGCTGCTGCTGAGCTTTCTATCAAGAAAGACAACTCACTGCTGCTGCTCAGACATAAATCCTTTAAATACAAGGTTGGTTTTACTTCTAAAATTCTTCTGTCAAAGCAGACATTTACATCAATAGTCTGGCGTTATAAATGTTTTGCTTCTGCTGTTTTGTGGAGTGGGTAAGACAGTTTTTAGTGGCAGGAGAACTATGGCCATTGACATGCACTAGTCTAGCACCAGTGACCTCTGCAAATACAAGGGGGCCCGGTCAAGCAGAAGTAAACAACAAGGCCAAAAATTCAAGTTAATGCATCTGATATAAAAATGTATTGAACAGATACATATGTACTCTAGTTTATGAAACTGTTTGACCTTTTTTCTGTACCATTTTTGGTTCTAAAAGTTACATAAGTTTTAAACAGACCATGTATGAAACATGGAACAAAAATTAT